CCAACATTATTTCGAATTTATCCTTTTTTAGTAGTTAATTGTCGGTGAAATGTACTGTCGGTGAAATGATTGTCGACCCGTCGGAAGTGAGTACGTATATGCTGACAAACTCATTCACAAGTGTTGGTATACATTCTTCGGAATACCAGCATTATCATGCAACCATTGTTAATAATGCGAGTTGGTTTTATGGAGGTGATTTCCTCGTAAGGAATTTATCAATTTTGCTGGGTTTTGAATATCCTTAACTATCAACATAGTTTTGAATAAAAAGATTTAGCAATAGAGAAAGATCATTCTCGACAAATATTGTGTTACGTTTGGAAAGCTATTGGTTAATGGTTCTAACAAAGCTAGTTTTAACATTTAATAGATGTAATGAAGAAGCAATGTTAATAAACACCAACACATTTTACAAAAAATATATCGAGTGAATGTTACCAAAGAATCTCACATCGTCATGTGACTGCAGAATTTTGAAAAGAGCGATAAATATTAAACACATAGTAATAACTTTGAACATGTAACCGGTTATTGTCTTCATTTTGCAACTGGATCAAAATTAATCGCCTCTACATCTTAACTCCATCTCTGGCTTCGCAATCAGAATCTAGGAGAAGTAATCGTGAGAACAACCACAGAGAAAGAAAACCAAGATTGAGCATCGTGGTTGCATGCATGCTAATTCGCGGGGTCACACAACATTTGGGCACAACTTTTTTGCGAAAACAGTAAAAACTTCGGTGAGCCAGTGATTACTAAACCTTTCTGAAGAGTAGAAGACGCCTACTTAATACAACTTTACTCTTTACTTAGCGCAAGGAAGAAAAGAAAGCTTGTTGGGTTGATACGCCAACGATTATAACCGATTATGAGGCGATTATAACTGATTCTATTGGCTGAAATTGTTTTCGTTTTCATTTTTTTTTGATGATGCTTGAAAAGTGCTATAAGATACGATTATGTCGATATAAAATATATAAATATGAAATTAAGTCCACTATGGAACCAAAGAATTACAGTGCAATTAGAAGCATTCTAAAAAAAATGCAAATGTTAATGTCAAGTATTGCTTACCGCCGTTTCTGTAATTGTGCTTCTGTATTCACGTTTTGTATGGTTGTCCAAAACTTTTTGACCTGATCTGAGCTTCAAAACGCCAGAGGATTTGTGAAAAACTGTACTTCTTCATGGAGTCTTAGATAAGAACTTCGCAAGCGACTTGGAGAAGCCCACCGGAGACGTAGATGAAGGACAGAGCTTAGGAGGAGCCTACCGGAAACGTACTCAGGGTCGCTTGGTGGTTGCATCGACACGTAGTCCGACCCCTCCCTATCTTTTCCTTGCTGCCGCAACACTACAAATACGAGAAATTTTTACTTGCCTTTGACGGACTTAGCTGCGCATACAGGTACTCGCGATGTGCTTCGCCTTTATCTGAACTTTTTGAGATTCGCTCAACGATACAAAAGGGAATGTTTCATTGTTCTTTTTCTGTCGAATAATGATAAGCAGAGCGTTCAGTGGTGACGCGGGGGCTTTCACCCCCCTGAAACCCTGCCATTTATATTCATCGCATTTATCATTGATTATCTGCTTTTCAAAAAATAAACTCTGCTGTCGTTTTTTCAAACATGTATGCTAATACTCGTAATTCACGTATAGCCCTCCCATAAATGACCGGGTGACACAAAATTTTGTTCAAATTCGCACCCATGTAACGAAAACTTTACTAATGCAACTGTACTTTGTGCACTAATTAAACTTGCTCTCGCAATATCATTTTATATATATCTTTGTAACTTGTATTAATCAATGTTCATTTTCTTTGTTTCATGAAACGATTAAAGTCTGTCTAACAGTTTCGCCGATTTTTTCTCCAACCTTTGCTTATTTGTAAAGTCAAATCAGCTACGTTGAGATCAAATACGCTATTAACAAAATGTGTTTAGAATCTTTTGGAATATGTATGTTCAAATTTTCATTCGATTTGGATGAGAAATGATAGAGGAACAAATTTAAAAGCAAATCTTAGTCAATCGGAAAATCGATCCCCGCAATATAGTCCCTGGCGAAAAGAATGGCGGTGACAATCGTTTTTAAAGTTTTTATAAAAATTCAATACAAAAATCGGTCTATTTGGAATGGATTCCACGTGATTGTATTGGCTTTGATGGGGGATATTACTTACATGGTTTACCTTCTTGTGCTGCAC